CAATCAAAAGAAAAAAAGTTCAAAAGATAATTCAAGGACCATGAATCTTAAATATGTATGAATATGTGCCAAAAGTAAAGAGAGCATTTATTGGTTTTCCAAGTTATTTATGTCTACAAAAATAATCCAAGAGGGGGATATTAATCAATATTCATGTTAATATAATCTTTTGTTCAAATATAAGCAAATCATAAAAGGTATCTTTTCTTTCAGAAAATACAAACAAATATACAAATAATAATAATAAAAAACTTTGAATTTGATAAGGCTATTGGTGCACATCACATTTTATTTGTTTATAAATGATTTAATAAATAGCATTTAATTTCCATGACTTTCTATTGGGCTTTACACATAAAAATAAATGCACTGCACATTAAAAAGTCTGAGATTAATAGCACATAGATTTATAATATACAGCATCAGTTGGGCTTCCACAATTCAGACTTAATATTTCAAGTAAATCAGATTTCTTCTGATCATCAGAAGCGCTTCAGTGCTCATTCTCTGCTACTATTAAAAAGCTGAATGCTAAATTTAATTCATTCATATATTCTTTTGTTCTGTTTTAAAAGATAAACATTCTGTTGTATTTTTACAAGAACATGTAGAAGTCATGGATCAGTTTCTGAAATAAAACCCTGGAGGGGAGAAAGAAAACAGATTTAAAATCCGGTTTAAGCGATCTGCCGCCAGCAGGGGGCGGTGTTATTTGGTAGACTTGATTGTATAGACAGTTCTACTCACTGAGCGCAGGAGAGGAAGGTAGAACATTTCAATACGTTCAAATCTCACAGAAACGGCTATTTATTTCAGCAAGTCCAATTCAAAACCTGAAACTCATATTTTATAGATTGATTGCACACAGAGTGATACTGAAGTGATTATTTATGGTCATTTTACTGGTTATGACAAAAAAAATAAACCAAACCAACTGTTTGCAATGTTAAATGAGAAACGTTATGGACAAGTTACAGCCAACACAATGATGGGTCAGAATGCTGACTACAGTTTTATCTTTCACAGAAGGTCACTGCTAAAGTAGAAGGCTGTAAGTGTTAGCCAAGAAACACAGAAAGTTAAGTGGAAGGTAAAACAAGATAAATAACCTTAAAGCTGTGAAGCACAAGCCATTTATCAAAGCACTTTTCAACTCATCTGGATTTTTACATCTGATCATCTCCGTCTTAGCAAGTTCAGATTTTTCTACCAGAGTTTTTCCATCCACTCAACTTTCAAATGATATGCTTGACTTGTCTTGAGTAACATTTGAATTTTGGGTTTTCAATAACCGTTAACCATGATGTTTAATATGAATAACTAACACTTGAAACGTATCAGTCTGTGTGTAAAAGATCAGTGTATGAGTTTCACTTTTTCAACTGAATCAGTAAAACAAACAAACTCAACAATATTCCATTTATCCATTCTGTTGTATGTAAGTGACACCAAGTTATAGTCTTAAAAAAACACACACACAGTGGCTGAAACCATGAGCAGAACAGGCCCTGGTCTGAGATCGGTAGGGATCACTCTGCCTTCAGCAGCAGATTCATCTCATCAGCTCATTAATCTGAGCGTCATGTCGACTCCTGGGTAATAACAGAATGTGGTTTAAGGTGTGCAACACAGATGGACATGTATTTTCATGATTCGCGGTACATCTGTTAGCTGAAGGCAAGAGAAAAGCCAAGACAAAGGCGCCCCCTATACCCCCTTCCTGTTTGTTCATGATTGCTTTCAAAGATCAAATTCATTTTGAAATCAAAAAGTGTTTGAATGTTTGTTTTTTTTCTGCATGCAACATCTTTGGTGGTTCTTGCATGAACGGTGTCACCCAGGCGGACCCTGAGATCCTGACCCAACCCACAGCCCAAAGTCTGAAAATTCACAAAAATAATGTTTTCTATATTCAGGGTAAAACAATTCAGTTCAGGTTTGATGAGTTAAAACTTTGACCTCGTGAGGATCGAGTGTTTAGCAACACCAAAACAGCCCTTCAGGTCTGTTTCAAATCTGAATTATAGCTGGAATTATTAGCTACCTGTGGCCCATTGTCATACTTACAGTAGTTATACAGTGATCAATACAAAATTGAAAATGCAGTTAAGGAATGGAAAACATGTGGGTACAACTGACACTAGCTGCGTTTACATTGACCATATAATAGTGCAATTTGACATTTCGACAATAAATTTGCTTAATGGAAACACACCGATTTTTGAAAAAACTAATTTTTCCAATAAAGAGTTGAGATGATTTTTTTTTTTTTTGGAAGTATTGAAACTGGTTCATTTTGCAAAACTGCAATGGAAACACTTTGTTTACATCATAAATGTCACATGATCAACAACTGGATGAAAACTATGAAGAAGAAGACAACAGGAAGTAGCTCATGGCATGGCAAGTTTTTTAATTACTTATCGTATAAACAAACTTATTTGTGTGTGATTTTAATTGTGTTTCTTATTTAATAGAAACACTGCAATTCCAAAATTTTGTTTTTCCGACATTAGCAGAATACTGACAACATTTTCCACACATTTGTAGAAGAAACGCAGCTAGTGGTTTTCTTGTGATGCCCCTCGGCAGAATGGCGCCCTGGGCAGTGAGACGTATTTCCACGATTGTCACTGAAAAGCAACGGAAAACATGCTGCATGTCTGTGTGTGCACACCATATGCTACACAAGGCTGGATTACAATTTCCAGTTAGTAGAAGAAGTCTGCAACACATGTACCATTCAGGAATGGAAATGGTTAGTCAGTTACTGAAACAACGAGACACAGAACAGATTCACTTAAAGCTTTCACATTCCAACGCAGATATGTTAGGAGACAAATGGAACAGGTGTGAGTTTCTCTTTATCAGAGCAGGAATAAAATGTTTCACATTTAACACAAAGTTTGTCATCTTCATATTGTTCTGTCGACAATTTACTGTACAACTACCCTGCAATTGTTACACTGTATTTAAATTTAAGGCAATGCATCACAGACTGGACTGCCACTAGAAACACATTTCCCTGTATATTTGCATTAATATGAGAGAGAGTGTATTGCTCATGGGCTCTGCCTGTAGACGGCCCCCAATACACAGATGGGGTTTTGGTCATTAATACCTTATTAAGGCCCACAGAGGAAATTACATTCAACCGTAATTAAATTCAGTGAATTGCAGCAATTTTAAAACAATGTCAGGGGTTGTAGTGTGGCAATTTGACATTTAGTGCAGTATACTTGATATGAGAGTGGGGCTATTGTACCCAAGACGGTTAATGCAGCATTTTTTATGACTTGATCAAAGGTTTGCACAGGTTTTACAACACAGCTTTACAGTGCTCTGGAGGACAGAGTAATATATGGATACCAGCATCACCAGCTGTGACCACATCTGTTCAGTTTTACAGTAACTGGGGAACCCAGTCGGAGTCAGTTTTATTCTGTTAAAACTCTTTTTATAGTGTCTGAAGACAAAAAAAATCAGCATCCAAAGCAGCATTTCTTGATAAATTCTGAAATATCCATGTCAGGCCAGTAGGTGGCAACACTGTCAACATTTACTCCATCAAAATACAAAAAGGAGAAAAATTAGCTATACTTTAGCTAATTTTGTCTCTGACACCAATTGCTATTTTTTGCTTTGTCATCTCCCCTCGCCCCCCCCACCCCCCAGTTTTCATGGCAACTTAAAAGAGAAAGGTGAAGAAAACGTTAGAAAATGTGCTGCTTCGGTTTCCAGCAGAAAACAAAAACATAAATATGCTGTGATATTAATGTTCCTTCAGATCTTCGTTTTGTGATGTTAATATGACAAACAATATTTTAATACTCAATGGTAACCCACAGAGTAAATCATTAACTCAAATGATTTACAGGTGAAATCAAACTGCTACCATTTCTGCAGTATTTATTCTTATTCTCATCTCCACTGTTGCCAATACTCTCCCAGACTGTAGGAGGCAGTGTAGGGCACCTATTAAAAACACGGTTACCATGAGTGGTATTATTGTCGTCATGGTTCGAATCATTATGGTGTCTGTCTTTTCGAACCTCCACCAGGAGGCGCTCTTGCTTGTCCACCATGTTTTTCGTTAACTCTCTGCGTAGTTACTAAGTTTCCGAAGTGCATGGTGTCGAAAATTTAGTCCGCACGGACAATACGTAGAGGGGCGTGGTTATTAAAATGATGCAATTTGAACGCCCTGTGCCCTGCGCACCTGTCAAGCACAAATCAAGCATTACACTTAACAGCTTATTTTCATGTCTTATTACATGAAATAAAGAGTCCAAGATCTAAAGTCTAAGTCAAGTATTGACGTTTCAAGATGCAAATTTAAGTCAACTCAGAAGTGTCTGTTTTCATGACTTGAGTCTATGATACATACTGTCCTAATATCTGTCATGTGGCCTGGCCTATGTTGGTTGCCAAAAATAAGATCAAACATATTCACTTTTGCAGCAGTGATGCAGGAAACCACAGTAAGTTACTTCCTCGTTATGTATTTTGAGCGTTGTTCTGTAGAAGGTCACTTTGAGTGCAGAGGCTTTTGACGTCTTCTTGGATAAGGGAGTTGTGTACCACCAATACCATTAAATGGTTTGGTGTTAGGTGAAGCTATAATGTGTTGTGAAATTTGCTTTCACAGAAATTACTGACTGAGAAATAATCACTGACACACAAGACCCCAAGTTCAACTTTTTGGTCCATATCTGAGATCATTCACACCTCACCAAACAAACTGGACTTTCTAGACAAAGTAGACTTTGATTAAAGCAGACTATAGAAGGCTGATGTGAATGCACCCAATGTATTTTTTTTACAACTGGATCTATGTTTGATTTATTTAATTCGCACACTGATTGAATTTCTGAAGGGTCTTTAAACTGTGGAGAGCATCTCGCTTGTATTTTCTTCATATTGGAAACCAGGTGAAACCAGAATAACAGACTGATGTAGCTTTTGGGTGTTTGAACCTGGGTGGTTTCAATTCAGTCAAAGTGAATCAAAGTAATTTATTTATTTCATGAATAAAAAAACACTCCAGTGGATGGACCTTAAGTACATTAAAATCAGCAGCATATCTGCAGTGTCCCAGAGAGATCGCACTTATGTAGAATTAGGGTGGAAAAGATAGGAAGTTTTGTCTGTAAGTTTCTTATGTTTACCACCTTTTTTTTTACAGTTGTAGTCACAGCCAGTGCGCTATTATAAACAGATACTGTACCTCACCTTCCCTACAACACAATGGTTGCTTTGGCAGTTATTTTCAGAGAAGTACCAAGGAGTGCCCCAACCAGAGTGTGGTTGATCAGTGAGAGGCAACTCTTGGCTTGGAGCCCAGTTGATTTATACTTGAAAGTGTTGAACGACTGCAGCTGGGGTGAAGGTCAAGGTTTGGCAGTGCAGAACGGTTTTAAATGTTGGTCTCTCTTTGCATGGGCTCTGCATCTGTTTGGTTTTGGTCGGTCAGGTCTTCGGAGGCCTGGGCCGCACCGTCAGCCTCCTTCTCATTTCGAACTCGGTCGGGATCTTCCGTCTCAGTTCGTTTGTACATCTCCACCTGCTTACGCTCACGGTCCAAGAGTCTGTAGTTAATGAAGTTTCCAATGAAAAGCCAAATACTCGCCAGGATGACAACACTACCACAGCAGAAATACATGTACTTGTAATTTTTGGTGACGTCGACAAGTTTCCCTGAAAGAGAGAGCGAAAGACGGTTGAGTTGCATGCAAGTGAGGTCATCAAGTCAATATTACATTTAAAACAAACTAACAAACAAAAAGTGTTCAAAGACAGGAAAACTACCTGCCAATGGTGGACCAATGAGAACAGGGCAGCACTCTATAATTGTTGTGAGTCCCACAGCACTGGAGAACCTCGGAGCTCCAACCAGGTCCATCAATGTCTCAAACAGCACTGAGCTTACCATGCCAAAAGCAAAGCCAAAAAATACTGCATACACCACCAGGCCAGTGTAGCTTTCCACTAGTGGGCAAAGGATATGGCACACCCCATTGTACAGCACAGCGAAACTGAAAAAATACTGGATCTTGGGGCGAACCCATCGTGAGTTGGCCAGCAGCCCCATGGAGGGTCTGGCAAACATGTCCACGAAAGCCAAGACTGAGAGCAGGAGGGCAGCAGAGTATTCATCCACACCCATGTCTTTGGCATAGGCAGCGAGGAAGACAATGGGTGCAAAGAAACCCAGGAACATTATGACGTTGCCTGACAGGTAGATGAGGAAGCCCCGATGCTTGAACAGCGTCAGGTCCAGGTACTTGTTGACTATCTGCCAGAGGGTGCGCTTTTCAGTTGTAGTGGTGACGGCGGCCAGCGCCTCGTCCTTCTTGATCTTGCCGGGCGGCGGTCCGAGCGGCCTCATGAGGGAGCCGGCCACGCAGCAGTTCAGCAGCAGCCCACCCAGGATGAGGAAGCTGCCTCTCCATCCAAACTGGTTAAAGAGGTACTGGTTGAGAGGTGCCAGAGTGCTGAGGAAGACTGGGCTGCCTGCCATCGCTAACCCATTAGCAATGGGGCGCTTCTTAAAGAAATATTTGCCTATCATCGTCAACGCTGGCTGCAGGTTGAAGGCCAGTCCAAGTCCTGCAAAGATGTACATAAAAAGGACATTCAGCAATGATTAGTCCTCAAGAAACCAAGTAAAGTAAGTAACACACACAGATTATCATTACTTTTTTCTAAATTACTGTTGAAACTTTCATTTGATGAAGAGAAGTACATTCCTTTCAAATAAAGCAAATAATATGTGATGTATTCAAGAACTTATATTCTAAAGACCGTCTGATTTCATATGTAGTTTCTGTCAAAAACTGGTAACCGTTTCTATTTCACTTTCAAAATGTAACCATGACGCTGAATGCATTTGAGTTTCCAAAATACAGTAGTTTCTTGTTTTTAATATAAACAAACTCCACAGTAACATCTATGACCATTTGGCTGCATAATAACAGTATGACAAGTCAGTTAAATTACATATTAAAGATTGTTTGTGTCATGGAAACGTCAAATAGGATTATACTTTTTTTTTATAGAATGAATACAACTAATTATCACCCAAACATTTTAGCTCATGAAAGATTGAAGCTGCCTTCATTTTTAACCTACACACATTGGGTTGGGATCATTTTAAAGTTATATTGTGATTACTATTAAAGTTCCTTTTATCAAATACATTTATATATATATATATATATATATATATATATATTACAGTAAATACATAAATACTGCTAGAACAGGGTTTCCCAGCCCTGGTCTCAGGGCTTCTGCCTGCATGTTTTACATGTTTCCCTGCTTTAAAACACACAGATGACTGAAATTCAACAAAAGCCTTTTAATTCACCATCAACTGAAAACGGGTGTGCTACAGCAGGGAAACATCTGCAACATGCTGCTCAGTTTGTCCAGAGGACCAGGGTTGAAAAAATGCTAGCACAGCTGAATGTAGGGGTTGCTAAGTGTTAAGTTTTGCTCTACATGTAATTGTCCAAAACGTTGAAAAACAGCAATTACATTACCTAACGTGTTAGAAAAGATGTACCTAATTATGCACCAAAAACGTTAAGCAAAAGAAAAGCTGTCTAAGCAAAGCCATTGCTAAGCTTCTGCTTGCTAATGTTAGCATTTAGCACCAGAGAGGAACACATTCCTAGATATTTTTGTAGCTTTTTACTAATGTGTTTTTGGTGATTTTTTTGTTTATTAATAACATAAGTTTCTCACCATATAGTGAAGAGTGGAGTCAGCTGTTATCAGCCTGCTCAGTATTCTGCTAATGGCTGCTAGCTCCTACACAAACTTTAAATGCCATAAGCTAAACTTTATCTTGTTGTAGTGTCTCAATATTAGATTTATGCTTATTAACATCTTCAGCTGTTTTCGGGTAATAAATTCAGTCTAGTATATTGTAATTTGCTAGACGTCCATAATAGAAAGTTGGAAGATAAAATAATCTAATCTAAAAATAAAGAGCAGTACAATGACTAAACAGATTAAATGATGCAAACATGTTTCTTGCTACACCAGTTTTATTTTAACTTCTCCTTAGCGAGGTGGAGGCTAATCCCACCGTCTCAACATGGACTTCCTGAAGTGGACAGGCTTACCTCCGATGACACCGATGCAGATGTAAAGCTGCATCACGTTGGTGCAGAAGGACGCTGAGATCATGCCCACGGCACAAAGGCAGCCGCCCATCATGACGATGGGTCTGCAGCCGTACGTGTTGACCAGTATGCTGCTGATGGGACCTGCAGCGAATAAACAGAAAACACACAGAGGCTTACACTGAGGGATTTAATCTGAAGACTGGAAACAACAAGCAATGTCTGCTACCAGCGACCTTTTCATATTATCGCTTCAAATCTGTGAGCGATGAGCGGCCGTGTGTAATCACTCTGTCAGCATCAGAGGAACATGTTAGCAGCCTAACAACAATATCATCCTGTCAGATGAGCTACAAACTCCAACAAACTGAACTAATCAGACCCGTTTCTACGTCTCTCTGTTGCGTTAGATTTACTTTTTTACATAAGAAACTAGCCTGACTTTATGTTTTCGATCATTGTCAGAATCAAAATATTTCTGTCTTATAATTAACATAAGACAAAATTATTTTCCTCTTTATTATTATTATAAAGAGGGAGACAAATTACAGCTTTATTGATTTATTTACAATAATAAAGACTATGCATCTTTTAGTACTGGAGTCTGCTAAACTTTTGAGTGCATGAGTGGCAACCTGAGCATGAAATTTCTTTTCTTTTTTTTTTTTTTTTGGTACTTTCTTAGCCTAATATTTTTGCTACCACCTGGAAGATGAGTTATATTCCTAGCAGTTCATAATAAAAAACCACAGACGACTCTGAGTCATTGCTGAAGTCGCTCTTGAGGAATCTCTTCCCGACCTTGAGGAAAGCTTCCCTCATTACCATTTGTATTCTCAGGGGGGGGAACCTGAAATTGGCAATGATGAGGACTCAGCTGATTACGCCATTTCTGGCTGGGAGACGACAAGCGTTTTGCAAAAAGAGGTTGACTTCATTACTCAGTGGACCAAAACCCAGAACTATCCCAGGACCTCCACTGTACCGGCCTGTTTGTCTCGGCATAGAGCAGCTCCACACATTTCATGAGTAGTAGTGAACAGAAAGCCATCATGGTCCTATTAGACCATCACCATGTGTCATTAGGTGAGTTTCCATTGACCATATAATTGCAAAATTTGACATTTTGAAAATAAACTTGCTTCATGGAAGGATGACAATTTTGAAAGAAAAAAAAAATCAATAAAAGGTTTTGGTGTTAGGATGAGGTGTTTTTTTTTTGTCTTTTCTTGGTTGTATCAAAATTTGTGTATTTCGCAAAACTACAATAGAAACACTTTTCCACATCACACGAGTCACATGCTCAACAACAGGATGTTGCCGCTGGTGTAAACCACGAAGAAGAAGACGACAGGAAGTGGTAGGAGGATGATGGTGCAGCATGTTTTTTAATGACTTATCAGGAGAACAAACTAGTCACATGCTACAATAATTGCGTTTCATATTTAATGGAAACAAAACAATTGCTAAATTGTGTTTTTCCAACATTAGCATAAACTTGAGTATTACTTCACCACATCTAGATGCCTAAATATGTTAAGTTGCTGCCATGTTATTCGTGTTAGCAAGTAATAAAGTAGAGGCTAAGTGCACATTAAAAAAACGGGCTTCCTGTTAAAGGGAGGATAAGCTGGAAGATAAAGAAACAAAAACATGTAGTTGATATGTTGGCTTCTATCAGGCAGCTGCTGGTTTTAAATGTTCTGTCTTTAAACTTTCCATGACTGAACGTGAATTCAACAGTTCAGTCTAACAACAAATGCTCCATATTGATCTTAATCACACTGCTACACTGGAAAGTTCAAACACGTCACGACATACTACGTGTTTTAACTAGGTTGGATAGCTGCGAGAGTTTCTGTCTGAAGTTTCCGACTGCTAATTTTATAACCTGTCAGTGTCACCACACCTCATTCTACTGAAGCGTTTTGTTTAGAAGTCGCTTCGTTTGACAGATTGTCTACATAACTACTTGGACAACAAATCCTGAAGAGGTAGACTTTAGTCAGTCTGCATACATGGCTGAGTGGTGAGAACATGACTAAAAGGTTCGCAGGAAACAAGGAGGAAAACCACGTGGCTGATTCCAGAAGTCAAAGGAGTCATTTTGAATTTTGTTGGTGCTTTAGAGTTCAGGAACTGAAGAGTGGCATTACCACGTCGAGCTGTGGCACCAGATAGGCAAAGTTGCTGCCTCTGGCTATATTTGACCCAGAGGTAGCATTTTATACTCATAACATAAACAGTGTCTATAAAACGTATTCGTCCTCTGATGTTAAAGTGCAAACTGATTTCCACAAAATAATGACAATTGAACAAAAAAATTTGTTCTATCCATCCCCTGACTTATACTTTTCAATAAACGTTTCTCTGACTTGTTTTTGTCTTCATGCTGTCCTGGTAGCCAGGAATACTGATGAACACACACAGTAGTCTTTAAACTACAATCACACATTCCACTCATTGTGAGACTACTACCACTACCTGGTTTGATCTCTGTTAAATTAGGTCCATCACTTTAAAGGGTGACATAGGGGTCCCCCACCTCTCATCCAGTGATAGACGCCACTCCTAAAAATTCTTAAATCTAACATCTCATTTAATTTACTTGTACAATTTTAACTTCCTGAAGCAAATAAAGAACTGTGAAAATATAACTGGTCAAGCATTTCTTAAGGCTGTTTTGTTTGTGCAGCTGACTCTTAGTTTTGCATGTTGTAGACAAGGTTAGCACAGGGCAGTGCTAATAAGGGAAAAGGTCTTTTCGGCCATTTGGAAGGACTGGATTATTACTTGCGGGTGTCTGCTGCTTGGCTCATTACCAGCTAGCCTCCCGGTAATGGCGGCGCTGTGTAAACAGCACACAAAAAGCAGCTGCAGGGGAATTAGAAAGGTGTTAAACATTCAGAGTGATGGAATCGCCAGTGTAATAGGCAGGACAAGAGAGCAGGTGTTTAATGAATAGCTGATGAGTTCAATCAATATGAATGAGTGAGTAACAAGAGCCACTCACTTAGTACCTGCACATATTGACGGAGTCAACACATGATAATGACATTCAGTCTGTGGAAAGCTTTAAAAAGGAGATCTGAGAGTCGGGATCTGACCACTTATCTGCAGCTATTCCCCCGCTGCAGTCTGTTAGAGGCAGGCCGATAATGAGCAACAAGCAGCCAACCTTGTCGGCGTTGGAGTGTTTTCTCACAGCTTCGGAGTTTAAGCTAATGAATACTGCCCATGATGAACAATCAGACACATTCCCTCCAGTTTGTAGCCATCATATCCACTGTGGATCCCTCCAGAAAGTCTGGATTTGCAAATAAAAGACCACAACAAATATAGCCTGCATTGCATCGTCAACATACTTTTTAAGATTTACTAAATGTCTCTTTGTTCTTCTATCTGCTGTGTCCAACTATCCAGCTTCATCATGCTTGTTCCTGACCGGCACAGATGGCGGCAGCAGCAGAGGCTCTGATTGGAGGATTACAGCATGGGCAGATGGCAGCCATGGTGGGCCTGGGTGAGCGATCTGCTGAACGCAGACCAATATGCCGGGGCCCATGTCCGGCTCACGATCATTTCCCACCAGTCAGAAGCGTCTAATGTTTCAGTCACCTGTCGTCTGATTGGCTGCCTTACCCAGATTTTCAGCAGGGTTTAGTTAATCCATCAGGGATTAACTAAAATCACTGATCGTGATTGAGATCTGTAGTTGATATTGTACAAACCACCAGGCCTGAACTCTAGTCGTGACAGTCACTTCCATCGTTTTACTCTCTGCCAAAATGAACTTGTTCAGGTGTAGGGTCGGGAAAAGGGCAGCTAACATCTCTGCAGACCAAACACATGCTGGACACAAACTGTTCGGACTTTTACCTCTAGGACGGCGCTACAAAGCCCTCTTTACAAAAACCAACTTCTTTTGTCAAAAACAATGTATATATACCTAGTTACAAAAAATGTTTATGTATTTGTTTATATTTTAATTATCTTCATTGTGAGCAAAAGTAGATCTGAAGTCAAATATTCTTTGCCTCACACAATCATATAAAGCTGATTCTGATAATCTAAAATCAGTTTTTTGGTTAGTAAGAAGACATAAATTTAATGCCATTTACTCTTTGTCTTTAAAAACATATTAAAGTTTGAACTTGTCCAATATGTTGCTGCTTAATTATTTTGGTAATAATTATCTTAACTTGACAAGCTAAGCTAATTAAACTAGGCTAATCTGGGAGGAAATATGACTTCAGATTTAACTTCCCGCCATAAAGAGATCTGTTCAGTTTTATCCAGAATGCTATTTCTTCTCTTGATTTGTCACAACTAAAAGTTATTATTGGACCCAAATATCAATGTGGTTTAGGTTGTGTCTTTGTTTAAGACTCTTATTTTTGAGGAAGAAAAGAATTAGTTTTTGATTTGCCCTGTGGTGTTGTAAGCAATGCAGCATTAGCAGCTTGCAATGCTAAAGGCTACTTCCTAGCCTTACAGTCATTTTAAATGACTACAGTTGATCATGTCTATTTCAAAATCTAAATCAGTAAACAGTTTCACTTTGACACATATTAAGCTGCGTTATCGGTCCTATCTAAAGTACAGATAAGTATGTTAAACATGAGTTCAGTCTAACATGTGACAGGTTTACAGATGACAGCAGATGCTTTCGCTTTCAGGACTACTTACCTGCTGCATACATGACAGCTAGCATGATGGAGGAGATCCAGGCCACCTGGCTGTAGGACGCATCGAAGATGATCTGGATGTCTTTGAAGAAGACTGTGATGGCTTTGGGGAAGGCGTAGGAGAATCCGATGGAGATGAAGGATCCCAGCACCACCGCCCACCCCCACCCACCATCCGGTGGGGGCACGGCAGCACCTGCGGTGGGGGGTGGCATCACTGGCCCACCTTAACGCTGAGTTTTCACTGTAGAGACAGATAAAAAACACAAGGAAAATCAAGATCAATGAGTAGAAAACTTAGGTAAGAAGCTGTAGTTTTGTGGATTGTTTTTCATAAATTTGCACCTTTCATTGTTCTGACTGAGACTTTGGACAAGACCTTCATCATGAGCTAAAACAGTCTTTTATTTCACAGTTGAAGTTCCTGAGCTCATTTATGATGCTAAGATGAGCCTAATTCAGCAGCACTATCAGTTGCTACAGTTACCATTTAGAAAGTGTGTTTACAGGAAAATGTCCCTGATTATTACTGTCAGCTGTGTGCACAGTACACACACATCCAGGAGACAATAAAACCTCTTTCTTTCCCGTCATCCAGGTGTGACAGCAGGCAGGCATAAAGCCACATTCCGGAGCTCCATGTCCGGCTGCACAAAAAATACACACACACACTGACGCTCACACACACACATGCATACACCGTGTGTGTGTTTGCTTGAACTCAATGTACCTGAGAGAGCAGGCCCCGCCCCCAGTTCACCTTGAACACCTCCCTCCTCAGGAGATAATGGAAACATTACTACGTGGGGGGGAGGGGTCAGGTGACAGAAAGGTAAAATCAGGTCAGGTGGAATGTTTCTGAGCAAACACACCTTCATTACCAACAACCTGTTCACAGACGCATTGTAAACTGTGGAGGTAATACCAAATATTTTCAGGTTTTCATTATCAGTCAGCTGTTGCTTTGGATTGGAATTAGGTTAAAATGCTGGCAGACCGCTTTGCTTTTACAAGCTATCAGCCAGTTAGCGTGTTTGCATAGTAAGATGACATGCAAACCTGAGGAAAGTCAGTTTAACGTGCTTTAACTATACATGAGCGGGATCATGTCTGAGCATTTTAAAGGTGGGAATTTACCAAAGGTAATACTGGGATCATATGTATGTTTATCAACAGTCCAGTCTACAGATTACACATCTCCCCCAAATTCTTAAATTTAATTCAGATTCCCCTTGAGACTAAGACCATCTACTTTTTTCCTTCCATTTAACTTTCCATTGATATGATTGGATACAGCACTCAAATGCATTTTTAAGGCATGGAGTGAGTCAGTGATTGGACAGCCATCAGGTCATGATTTTGTAGTCCAGAATAAAATGCTTCATGACTAAAAATCTTTTTTTGCTGACCTGAGAAACAGAATTTTGTGTTTCATTCATTTTCATGGAAGCCACAACCATGAAAATGAAGAGAAATAACCACAAATTCTGACTCTGTGTAATAAATCAACGGAAATTTTGAGGTTTTGAATCAAACTGCAGCAATAAATAAAACTTTATGATGAAAGTCTAATTTAATAGGATAATTAACTAATAATTATCCTAATAAATTGTAGTCAAATGGAGCAATATGTAGACATAAGTACGTAACTTCAACCTGTTCATTTGCTTTTTTATCATTTAAATTAGAAATATACAATAAAATCAAAGACAACAGCAGAAAAAACCTGAAGTTTCTCAAAATTCGACTTACCTTTATAAACTATTTCTACTGTGCTCTCTGCTGTCGGCCATGAAGGAAAACTGTTTAGCCACTCAGAGTCGCTTCAAATCCAAACATCTGGTTAAACATGTCCAAAGTGAACTTATTAAACAACTATTCACTGATTTGTCTTCTTATCTCTCGCCATTAAATTCCCTAGATCGAGAGCAGAGTGAAGTGTGTGGCCTGGAACGAGGCGGAGTGTGTGTACCTGAAAGCAGCCAGTTCAAACAGAACCGGCAGGATGACTCTTCACTTGTCAGACTGACGGAATGACTCGTGACAACGATGTTAGAGAGAGCAGGCTGCTTTACTTTCTGCTCTAATCTGTTCAGGTTGTAATAAAACCAGGTCAGACTATATAAAGCAGCAGTTACCTGAACACACACTGGAATGACTTTGACAAATACGATTTGCTTTGTCTTAATGAAGGGAGATTTTGACTGAAATAAATGAATCAAAGTATTATATTTAGATGACTGGGTGATCATTAGTACAAGCCGATATGTAAAGATGATGCTTCTATATGTGTTTTTACGATGTAAAGCACTTTGAAATGACTTGTTGCTGAAATGTGCTGTACAAATAAAATTTGATTGAGTGATTGATTAAATAATGTAAAAAAAATAGAGCTACATAGCTACCCTTTCGAAAGCAGATAACCTTGCTTGAGGAGCCAATCCAAGCATTTAGCTTGCAAAAAGTAAGTGAATATTCATCAGTGCTGACTGAATGTCTGCATAGGGTAGAATGAGATTTAGTAATGATATCCATATCAGTTCAAACTATCACAGTATTAAGCACTTTTAATCTAACATTGTAAACAAGAAATTGTTCTTAATGTTTTGTCTGGTGGCATAAAGATTTAACTACCAAACTACATTTTTTTACAATTTCAAAAAATTGATACAGAAACAGATTCATAGAAAGATGACACTACAATGTTTATTTTCCTAAAGCCATTGAAATACAAGGCAGATACCTAAAGGCAGAGTTACTCTCCCTTTAAGTCTTTTAGTTTCTGGCAGCTTCTACTTTGTACCATAAAACTAATGCATCAATAATTCGACTTTATATTCATTTTCTATGATAATGTTTGAAGTCGTGCCAGGTTAATCCAACAGTTAAAGGGGTCTGGATCTGGATCCATCACAGGATTAATTGATATGAGACCAAGAGCAATTTAGAACTGTTACTAACCATACTACGAGTGTTCTTGAACTGTAGAGTGAGAATTTTACAGCTTCAAATGGCTTTACTGGGAGCATGACTTCATAGCTGGGGAAAAGATTGTGCCTCAGCCGAGTGTAATTTGGAGTATCAGTCCCTTGTATTTCTGTTTTAATCAAAGTTAGAGATTAAGCTTTTTTTTCCCCTACAGCTCCACACAGAGGATCTAATCCATGCTAATCAGATTACAGACAGCAGCTCTCAGCAGAGATGCTGGTTTGGACTGAACACAACGACAATGCATGCCGGTTTCTTGTAATCGATAAGCAGCTTAAGTTGATGGGTTTGAATATGAAGCTCCAAATAGAATGACCATAAAAAGAGCAGCGGGTAGAGTTTAAAAAGGGAACAGTGTGGCTTTGCAGAACGTGTTCATAAATGAGCCATTTGAGTGCAGAGGAAGTCAAGCAAAGCAAAGTGACTCTGTCATTACAATGTCAACATATCCTAATGCTGCTTCCAACGGCCACAGTCAATAAGGCCATCTCTGCTGTGTCCTTCACTGGATGGTTCTGACAGAGTTCTAGTGGAACTCTGTCAAGGCACTGGATTAAATCAGCTGATTTAAACTGACACAAACTGACCTAAAAATGTGATCCAGTCTGTAAAAGTTCAAAACTAAGGAAGTGTTTTACCGTAGGAGCTTGGAATTCAATTCAGAAGTGGTATCTGGTTAAAACTAGAAAGTTTTCTTGTTCTAACCAGTTTAATATCTTGTCAGGCATAAAGGGGCTCACTATGACTCTCTTCACCCCGTTTCTTCTAGATAACATCTAAAAATATGACCTTTTTTTCTTAAAAAGATGATATTTTGGTTTTAATGACATGTACATATGATTACAACAATTTTTTTTAAATCTATTTGGCTATTTCTAAGAGCACACCTCCTTTCAGAATCAAATTAAATTGCCCATTTTCATATGGTGATGCAGGTCTTG